ATTACTTTTAAAAGGAAATTTATGATTTGACAAATCTAATATGGTAGTTCTAAAATGTATATATCTACATCGTAAGCTTGTGTAATCTCTGAATAACATATCAAATTTTAAGAAATGTTAAGATTAACTACATAATTGAAATAAAGATCTGAAAAAAATCAACTAAGAAACATAAAACTTCATGTCTGAACGATTGCAAGCAAATAAGAGTAAATATAAAAAAAAACCTTATGCCGTTTATTGTGATCACTGCATAAAAGAATTGGAATAAAACTAAGATAAACAAAGATTTTCAGTCATAGCTTGAGGTATAACTAATATTCAGTCACATCAAACACGTATGTATTTGATAGTCTCAATAGTCATGATTGTAGTCCCGAAATAAACCAAAATTGTATGTGCCAAGTGTTTAAACTTGCATTCAAAGTGGAACATAGTATATGCATATTATTTCCGTAGGGCTAGTAAAACATATCACCCTTAACCTGCAAAATACCAACCGCTATATAGATGACGTTCTCTCATTAAATAATTCAAAATTTGTGACTATGTTGAACGAATCTATCCCATCGAACTTGGGATACAGGATACAAAATATACAGTTAAGTCTGATTCATATATTGACTTACATCTAAAAATTGACAATGAGGGTCGGTTGTAAACAAAACTTTACGACAAAAAGATGATTTCAGCCTCCCAATTGTGAACTTTCCATATCTGTGTAGCAACATTCCAGCAGCGCCTGCATACGGAGTATATATCTCCCAGTTGATACGATATTCCCGGGCTTGTATCTTTTAATATGATTTCCTTGATAGAGGGTTGCTGCTCACAAAGAAGCTATTAAACCAAGAGTTCCAAGTGGTGAAGTTGAAATGACCCCTTCGTAAGTTTTACGGACGCCATCACGAATTGACCGTTACGGACTATCCGTTACACAGATGATAGTGGATATGTTCATAATGGCGTAACTACAATCCCTTCCCCTTTTTCCGAATGTGACTTACCGAATGATACTTATTACCGGGTTTGTACTAACATGAGCAACACGACGGGTGCCACATATGGAGCAGAAACTGCTTACCCTTTCATGGAGATTATTAGGCTCAGTTTATTAGATGATCAGCCCCAGTTTTTGGTGGGGTTCATGTTGCTCAGTCTTTAGTTTTCTATGCTATGTTTTATGTACTATTGTTTGTCTGTTGGTTTTTTTTCTTTTTTAGTCATGGCGTTGTCAGTTTTTTTCTACTTATGAGTTTGAATGTCCCTCTGGTATATTTCGCCTCTCTTTGAGTAAGTTTCTAACTCTTTTAACTGTATTTTTTGTCAATTTCAAGTAGTGAATACATTCGTTTTTATCATTAAATCTGATTTTGTTTTCTAAAACATAATTATACAAATAAATCAAATAACCAAGATATTTTTATAAGTGTAATAGAAATTGAAAAATTCTCATAAACAGATTTGACACAAAATTCAGAAAAAAATAAACAAGTATTGTCAACTTTATAATGATACTAATGCTAATGATTGGGATATTTCGTGTTTATTTGAAATGCACTTAGAACTCATTAAAGTACACAGAATATCGACAAATAATAAATGTACATGTTTTAATACGTTGTTTACTTCCAGAAAGACAGTAACTTGAAAATTTGTGAAATAGGAATTATAGTACTCGTAAAAACATCATTTATAAAAAAAAAAAGAAAAGTTATTAATTAAAGTAATCTTCAAAGTTGTTTTTATAATTAAACGACGACGAAAGAGACGATTTTACAGGCATATTTTTAAATTGCATTTAATTGGAGATGTCACTCTGGATCTTGCCCACAGAGTGTACGTATGTTTACTAATATTGAAGAGTTAACTGAGCTGTCTTAAATTTCTATAAAAGGGATATTTTAATCGCTCAAACCAATTATCACATTTACAAGTATTAAAATACATTTTTGATCTAGATAATGTCCAGAACAGTAAAAATCTGTCAATTCTGTTGATGCATAAATTGAGTCTCTTTTGTTTTCTTATGTTGTCTTGTTGATGTCCTTCTGTTTGGCTGCTAATAATTGTTATAGCGTCCCTATCTCAGTATTTATTTTTTGAAAGGTATTCATTCGGATTACTTAATATCCTTTATATAGACTTTAACAAACCAATAATTATGCATGTGTAAGAAATATTGTTATTTCACTCCTATGCATGCATACGGCGAAATGTGTTGGCAAGATATTGTCAGTGACGTTAAATCAAAAATGAAGTCAGAATGCATAGAAAAGGTTATTGTTTCTTGTAATTTCTACTATATCAACATTAATTTTCGTGCAAATTTTTTTTATATCCATAAACCTATTGACAAGGGTTACAGTCATGCCGTATTGTGAAGTAATTCCGCTGTAAATAAAAGAAGGAGATTTGATAAGAGCAATTATTTGGACTCTGAAATTGCTTAAACAGTACACATACACGATATAATAACAGGGAGAGTAATGGCGTCGAGTGAAAATGAGTACATGTACTTTTTTAAACTGACATTTATCTTGATTATGTTTGAGGAATTTGTACCAATATTTATGAGAAAATCACTGATGCTTTTTAAAAGATGAGAGAAATTTAGAGGCAAAAATACCAAGTTATTTTTCTAAAATAATGAAAATGTAATATAACATAATCATAAGCAAAGAATTGTGCCTCAAATTTAGAACAAGTTTATGTAAAGAAGATATTCCTTTTTCTTTAAATCCGCTGATGCCTATCTTTTGAAAATGAAAAGTTGGGTATGTCTGTCCAAAGTTTAGAAATCTCCAAGAAACCAAAATTTTGAGCCAATGTCTAAACGTTCGACCACATTCATCTCTTAAAATTGGCATATGAAGGTATATTTTGATGACATATTTGAATTAACAAGATGAAAAATAGCCGGTATGCATTTGTTTTGTCACACAATCACCGTGGAATCAAAACTCTATAGTATGGAACTCGTAATAATAAATTTCATACTTCCTACAATGTACGAATATTTAATATTTACAGCCAGTTTGTAGTCTGATTTAATATATTCTGTTCGACGTAAAGATTAGAACTTTGAGTCTTGGAATAAAAAAAATTAACATATGCAGTATAAATTCCGTGCTCCAATTTTTTTCTGTGTTAAACTTTATTGGGTACGAACAAATCGATAGTTGAGAAAGGCAGCCTTAGTTTAAAAAAACCACAATAATACACGCGCGACATCGCGGGTCCGTGACTGAAATAAAGTACCTTCGCTTTATTTGTAGCCTGAATTTTTAGTATACGTATTTTCATCTGATAAAGTCATGCTGATTATGAGGTGCACAGTTTTCTGTGTTTTCAAAATCTTTTTGTTTCAACCAGTCCTGGTTTTCTTACTACACCCGGGGTGAAGAAGGTGAGTAGGTGTATTCGTATGGTTTATTTTTGCCTTGTATTTATTCATGTTTTGGAAATGTTAACTTTCTGGAGTAAGTCCCGTCACGGCCAGGCTATTGAATTTGGTAGGCAAATGTTCATATTAAATTTGGGCCGATACAGTGAGTTAAATATCCTCTTGTACACCATAACTTATGAAAGGAGTCTTATACGTAGCATACATATTTAATGTGACATATACTATTGGTATTGGTAGCCGGACCTTGTTAATTATAGGGAATATTAATTATGTGGAACACAAATTGAATGGTGTAATTTTTAATCTACATCATTGTTCTATATTAGTTATATTTAAAGTTGAAATCTTTGATTCGTCGTTTTTTCGTCTTGCCGGCTAACAAATTGAACCTCGTTATTTGAGTAGTATAGATACATTATCAACGTAGGATTTACAAACAAAAATGCAAGGCATTGCATACTAGGCAAATAGCTTCTTCGGAAAATGCCTGTACCAAGTCAGAAATATGCAATTGCTTTCTTTCACTATTGCTTTCACTTGTTCTTTGATTGATAGCGTTTTTATGGAATTCCCTTTTTAAATTTGCCTGGGTATTTTTGTTATACATTTTCTTATATACTAACTGTGCCAATATACTTCAGAACCTTGACAGCGGTGTCTTTGTTTATATCGTAATGTGTTTTTCTTTCAGGAAATCAAAGTTCTACGACTACTAAATTTCAGGCATATATAATTGTATGTTTACTAGTCTATTGTTGACAATCGCATGTTAATCTTTGAATTTAAATTTTGATTTATATTCTGGTTGGTGTCTTAACAAAGATAACTGATATTTTGTGCTGCTTTTTTCATTTACCAGACATGTCATTTTTACACTGGGTTATTAATCAATATACAGCATTGCTTCTAGTATCCATCATTTTTATTCCCTTTTTTAGTGAATTCTTTCTATTTATGGTTTAAGAAATAGCACAAGACTTGGAATGTGGTAATTTGTTTGTTTAAGTAGTATTTATGTACTAAATCGCTGTAAATGCTTTTGCAAATGGTATTTAGTTTTTCTTTCTGTAGAAAACATTACATGTTTAGTCTTACCCATAGGCTCATCTGATTTATATATTCATCTTTATAGTAAATTGTGCCCGAATATCACATATCAAAGAATAACAGTCGTACACGATGAAGATGAACGAATTCGAACAAACATTATCAGACTTTCATGGTCCTCTTTTACTTGCTATCTTATTCATTTCTTCCGTGCAAACTATTGTTTGACTTCCAGTACCAAAAGGTGTTGACAAATTCAGAATTTAATATGCAGTAAATCTTTAAAATTATTACAGTTCAAGGATATGTCAAAACCGTGTTGATAACTAAACACGAACAGCTCGCTATAATTAGTGTTACGTGCATTGGTCTTCATTTCAAAATGCACTTTACAAAGAGAATAGATTTTAATTGTAATTGTTGTATTTTGAACAACTTAAATGTCAAACCATAATAACCAAGGTTTTTTCCCCTATTACATTTGTAATTATATCTAATTTGACAATTATAATTTCATCAAATATTTGTATTTAAACCTTTAAAATCAAATCTAGTAGCATAGATTTGGACAGAGTTGTTCTCAACACAGGCAAGGTATCTTACTTTTTTATTTATCTAACTTTTTTAACAATGCTTTTATAAACTTACAACATACAAATTGCAAAGGAAAATACTCGAGGAAATCCCAAATGTAAACATTGTAGCTTACAATTTTTATCACCTATTCCAAGATGGCGTTCCGTAGGTGGTATTTTTATAATTATTGTTTGGACCAAATGCTTGATTTGAAACAGATGAACATTCGTCTGTTAACTTTTTCATTCGAGCGTCACTGTTGAATCTTTTGCAGACAAAACGCTCGTCTGGCGTATACAAATTTTAATCCTTGTATCTATGATCAGTTGTTTTATACGTTGAACTATACTATAAATCGTGAATTGAAAGATTGGTTGAGGGCTGATCCTAACATTTGTTGGAATGTTTTTCCTTCAAAATAAGTTACATTTTGTTTTATACCATTACTGTTTGACAATTCCTTGCATATTTCATTTTAGGGCATTTTCTGGATCCTTATAACGCTTATAATGTTACATTCTCATGAAAATTATGTTGCACTAAATTTTGTTTTAATTTTGAACATTGTTTATTTCTTAAATCAGTATTGTTTTATTTTGTTTCTTTTATTTTCAACACTAATTTTTTTATACTTTTGCAGCCATTACTTATGGCACGCTCAACGGAGTTGCGTGACATACTGTTATTCTACGTTTCTTTTTCGTCTTATTATTATATTTCGTCCACTTTTTTGTCCAGCTTTTATCTCGGAATTGTATCAACCAATTTTAATGAAAATATGCCATAATGTTCACCAGCATGTTCAGATTTGCAAACGGGGTATGGAATTTTCAAGATGGCTACCGTTGCCATGGACTCTACTAAAATAAGAAAATAATTCAAAATTCTAAATCCTACATTATAAGACCTAACTAGATGAAACGTTATGGAATTGTTACCTGGTATGCCTAGATGTGCAGAGAGTATTTGGAAATTTTAAAATGGCTGCCATTGTGATGGAAACAGTGGGGAAGTTTAACATTGATCCTATAGGAAAATACATTTAAACAGCATTGTCTGTGAAAATATTACACCAAACCTAATTAAACTACATGGATATGTATCATGGCATGTGCCAATGAGATATCTGTCTTTGTAATTGGAAATGATCACCGTTACCATGGAAACATCAAAATTGTCCAAAATTTCAAATTGCTTCAAACCTAATTGAAACTAACAAATATGATAACTGGCATGTGTAGATGCGCTGTAGAACTTTGGAATTTTTTAAATGACTGCCGTTACCATGGCAGTTGAGGGACGAGGGTGCTATCCGGTATTGCTAACAACAGCAAATCTAGTTATGCATTCTGTTTGCTCATTTTGCTAATGTTTCTCTTTTCTTTAATGTAATAGACCATTAATGTCTATTTAGTAAACCACACACAGACCCTTGTAAATACACCATATCACTCTAATTGTAGGCTAATAGGTGCAAAAAAACTTGTTGAGAGCCATGGAAATTAACATCAGAAAAAATCCGATAAATTTCGTTGATTTCGCTATACTGCTACATCTTTGTACAAATACGGGTGAAATCACAGGTAATACTTCTAATTGTCGCTTTTTTCACCTAGTTTATGACCTTAACATATAGACTGGATAAAAATAAGATAATGAAACGATTACTACTGGTTACAGATATCACCGACACCATTTGTATTTTTGTTCGTTGTGAAAGGAACGACCAATTTAAGTAAGAAAAATGTTAAAAATTCTAGCATTGAGTTTCCTCAAATAATTACGGATACAAAGTAGCCTTTTTCGTATACAATAATGGTTTCCGTATACATTTACGTTCAATAGTCTGAAAATGATTGACAAAGACAATATTATGTTGTTAGCTTAGTAGCAGCTCGTTCATTATCATTACAGCCAGGTTAATCAACTATTGGAACTGTATCAACGATTTCATTTTCAGTAATTATTTGACATGCGAAGAGTCACAAGCATGTATTTAAAGACTTTTTTAAATTCTTCAGCGGTATCTTTATGTTGTTTTTATTTTCCTTTTACAATCCTTTTTAATGAACATTTGAATCTGTTTTTGTACTTGTTTTATTTCTGATACAGCAATTTTAGCGACTATGATTCAGAACAAAAACGTCGTTGTTCTAAATGTTGGGGCAATGCCAAGCATGTTATTAAATCAAATTTCCGAGAGACAAATACTTTACAAGAGCATGTAGTCGTTGATGATAACAAAAATACGAAAACAAAATTTTCACTTAATAAAAAGCATTCAAAACAGTTATTTTCATTGCAAAAACAGACTTGCATATAAATAAGCATGAATCTGCCACAAGGCTGCGTAACAAAGAAGTAGACACAAAATTATGAAACAACTCGTTTTGTCTCTCTTATATATTTCTTTTTATAAAGTTTGATATGATTTTTAATAATATTATTATGAACATTACCATATGTATAAATACTACAAGATCGGTCATTCAATGATAATAAATGTAAATATAATGCATTTTATTTCAGATGTTTCACACTTTAACAGCTGTATTTCTCTTAGTGTTAATGAGCGTCACCACGACAAGCGGTTGCAGACAATGTGCAGTCAATGGACAGCAATATAGGGGAAATTCCCGATTTCAGTTTACACAAGGCTGTTCGCGTTATAATTGCGTGTGTAACTGTGATGGTAGTTGGAACTGCCCTGCTCAGGATACAACAAACATCTGTTCTGGATCAAACATAAACAATGGTGGGTCTAGTTCGAACTGCAGAACTTGTCGAGTTAGAGGACAAACGTACACTGGAAACAGTCGTTTCCAATATAACAGTGGCTGTTACCGGTTTAACTGTGACTGCAACTGTGATGGAAGTTGGAATTGTCCGTCTAGCAGGACACAAAACATTTGCTAATAAGTATGTTTTGTCATTTAATTGCATTTGATTCAACGTAAATATAATTTTGAATAAATGCTGATCTTGAATGTTTCTTAGTTATGAAACTTATTTGAAATCGTTCAACACTTTATATAAAGTTATGAAAATAACGCTGCTAGTAGACAATCAGTCCCTGAGGGTATCATCGGCTCAGTACAACAGTAATTAGATGATTAATAATAAACCCTTCTATAACTGTCTGTTTATAAATTTTGAGTTTATTCAGAACAAAGGTTTCATTCCCTTCAGGCAGAGTTGATCTTAAGATAGATTTAGATATTTTTTTAGGTCCTTTTTGGTCAAATAGCTTCTCAACTATTTGGTTCTTAAACACCCTTGGGTTTCAGATATTCGTGTTTGAGCTTTCATGAAAAGGTGTATCCATAAAAGCTCTTCGGACGAATGATATTTATAAATTGTTGTAGTCATTTTTCTATACCAGTCAATCTTTTCATTCTGTTTTTTTTTTTTTTTTTTTTTTTTTTTTTTTTTTTTTTTTTTTTACGCAGTAAATACATTTTTTTTGCTACGTGTAAAAGAGAGGCAAAAGGTACCAAAGGGACATTCAAACTCATTAGTAGAACATACATGTAAGCTAACAACACCAGTGCAAAAAAAAATAAAAAGGAAAAATGACAAACAACAGCATACACATCACAACAACGAAAACTAAAGATTGAGCAACATGAATTAATTAACACTTTGATTTATTTAACTTTTAATATAAGGGGATTGTCATATCCTTCAATTTTGCTTTTTTAGATATGCGTTTCAACTAAAGAACTGATAATTACAAAAAGAATTATCATGATTATTTGATTAAAGTGTACCCGGACCAAAAATTCAATCCACGAGCTTTAGCAACAGAAGCATCATGACACCATAGATTTAACGATATACCGAATCATTGTATTTCTTAAATTGTGTTCAAAATGAGAGGCAAAAGGCAAAATTGGCATTCAACTTTATTATACACAAAAGTTGTAATTGATATACAAACCCATATGTCGAAAACAAAATGACAGTTCCAAGACAAAAAGGCGGAAAACTACAAAAAAAGACAAACAAAAGTATACAAAAAACAACAGAGAATACTATAGACTGAGCAACACGAACCCCACCAAAACCACGGGGTGATCGTATGAGCTTTGGATGAGTAGTCAAGTCCTGTTACATAGTTTGCACCCGTCGTGTTGTCCATTCAAATACAGACCATGGCCAATTAAAAAGTCTATTTCGGAAGGTAACATTCGAGACTGTATATAAGATAGATAATACAAGATAGACAAGTGAAAAATACAATGAAAACAATGGATTTGCATAACAAAAATTTAAGTTTGTAAAATGTAGTTACTTTTTGTTATAATATCAAACACACTCAGACTGATAGAAAAATTAAGTAAAATTGCTGCGTTAAAAGGTATAAACGCAATGTGTAGGCAGTCGAAAACCCGTGAATCATTGTTCAAAATGTATGTGGCCATTCTTTTTTTTTTCAACTGTCCCTTTGAAGTATCACCTGACCCTTCGGATGTCTTTGTGTATATTTTTTTAATGAACATTTGCCTTTCAAGTATACACCATACTAATTAATTAATATATAAATAACAATTCTAATAGATATTTCTAAGCTACAACCACTTCCGTATAAAGAAATACCCCATCCCGGACATCAAGCAAAAAAAGACTAAAATAGCAGGTTGGAGCAGAATGCTTTTTTAACATGAAATGAGAAAAAAAATCTCAACAAAATGCAATATAAGTATTTGCATAACTTTAACACATGTACAATGTTTCTGTGAAGTTTCAAGGATCTTGGTTGAAAACTGTAGGAGTTGCTTACACAAATTAATCATGTACCCACTTTTTCCCGATTGCCCGATCCCCCCTCATCACCAAACTATAAGTCGGTTTTGGAATTCGTCAAACCCGGCCCAATTATTTTAAGCAGTACAATGTCATCGACTTAATACTATATTACAATGATAGATTGAATATTTATTGATGCAAATAGTTGCATAAACTATAAAACATTTAGAAGTTAACTCTACCTAATCAGAACTTCATGTTTAATGTACTTTAAGAAATAACACAATATTTCATAACCCACGAATGATAAACATAATTACTGATTCAAAGAATTCCCGTTTTACTTGCAATTGAATGCTGTAAGAAAGTTTGATTATTAAACATCTTTTGATTCAAGCACTTTACTCTGTCAGCAACTGTCCCGACTGTTGCTATGATAGCCTATCCTTCTGGGTCCGATGTTGGATTTTTTCATTTACAGTTATGGGCATAATGTGCACGTGGCATCAAATTGAAACATAACTGCATTGTGTTGCCATACTTTTATAAAAATTAAATGTATGGTCCTACATCCTGTCGATATAATGTACTTATATTTTGCTCAATACCCTGCTTTTCAGAATGTTTATGAAGTCTTTACACTAAAGATGTTGAATTGGGACTCATTGATACTTTAGTCTTGAAGAACATGATTGTTATTTGCTTTGAACTAGCTTTCAGTAAATGTGGGTAATCTAAGTTCGGCTTTTTGTGTCTTTTGTCTTTATGTTAGTTGTTTTTTTGTGTTTCGTGTCGATCGAATGAGTCAACCCCTTTCCAACTGATTTGTACAGTTTGCTTATCGAATTGTGATGTGATACCACTGTTCCTTGTTATGGAATGGTTGAGCACACACAAACATTTTGAATCCCGCCACATTTTATATGCCTCTGTCCCAAATCAGGAATCTGAATTTCAGTGGTTGTAGTTGATTGGTGTCTGTGATATTTGTTTTTCGTTAATTATTCTCTCATAAATCCGGCTGTTTAATTTTCATTTGAATTGTTTCGTGGTCTTTTATATCTGACTATATAGTACGGATTTTGCTCATTATTGAAGGTCGTATGGTGATCTATATATGTTTAAATCTGCCTCATGTTTTGCACCTTTTGTTAGTTGTCTCAATGGCAAGTATACCATATCTCCTTATTATACATTATTTGATATATGATTTACAATAGTCCATCTGTCTATCTACATGATCACGTTTCCTTGTTTAATCTCAAAAGGTGAATCAGATATTGAAATATGTTTATTCGCCGTTTCAGAATCTAATGCATTCTGGGTATTATTCTTAAAAGCGTACACCAAAACGTTTTGATTGGGAAAGAACGTTTAAACAATGGAAATTCAACCAATGAAATGACGTTGTTTTCATTTTGGGGTACGAACAATGAAATTACACACAATCCTTTAAATTCTGAAAAGGCGAATTAGGGTTCATCAGCATATACGCCTTAGACTTATGCTGCGATAAAGTCCGTTTGTTACTGTGCAAAATTTAAATGACGAACCAGATCAGGTCGTGTTTGACATATTAGTTCGGAGCTCATAATAAAGAAGTTTCTTCTTGAGTCAAAATGTGACCTGTTACAAGGCAAAATGTCAATCCTTCCCAGCAAACTCTTCTTCTTATTAGAAGTTTACAAAACTCGATCCCCTACCCATTTAACCACCTGACAGATTTTAATTTATTTCATCTCGTCTTGAATTGGCATGAAATACCACCGCAAGACGTTAGGTGAACAACAATTTATGAACTATATTTTTTAAATAGTTAACCATAAAAGTTTTGATAACTGTGGAACTGGCTACTTTAAGCTATTTCAATTTATGAGTACACGTTGCAAAGATATCTTTCTTATATTTTCTTTGGTGGTCTCGATCTGCACTTTTTTCCTCATTTAGGACTTGATTTGTGAAGCTTGTGATATAAATACTTTTTAATGAATCGTTTACTCATATTTCCTGATAATTGGCACAAAATACAATACAGAAGTATTTTGTACCGGAAAATTTATATTTTCTATCATGATTTAATGATACACGTAGATACGCTGCTTTCAGGACAGCTAGTAAACCAAGGTTCTCAAGCGGTAATGTTGAAGTCAATCCCTTGAAAATTTTAGGGACAATATCACGAGTTAGTTGACTGTTATGGAACACCTGTTTCACAGTACACGATAGATATGTTTCAATTGTCGTTATCAAACTTCCGTTCTTCTTTCCGTAAATGTGACATCACCGAATGAGAACAATCACTTAATTTGAACTTTCATGAGCAACACGACGGTGCAACATGAGGAACAGGAATTACTGACCCATTTGGAGTTCACCGCCGGTTTTTGGTTAGCGTTGTGCAGCTCAGTCTTTTTCTATGTTTAGTATTGTAGACTGCTGTTTGTCTTTTTGTCGTTTTGGGTTTTTGTATTTGCCATTCGTTGTCAGTTTGTTTGGTATCTTTCGCCTCTCTCTTCCTTGTTAGCAAGAATGTATTATTGAAAACGAACTACTAAGAAACATTGTTTTTCGTATGACTAGAAGCTAAATGTGTGATTCATCTATATTTTATTGTGACACTTAATTTGAGCTTAATTTGCACACGATTTATATCTTTAAAATACAACTTAAAATTAAGTGGCATTTTTATCATATATAATGCATTACCTGATTGTGTTTTGTCAGTCTTGATTAGAGGTACGACGGATGCCACATGTAGAGCAGGATCTGCTTACCCTTTCGGAGCACCTGAGATCACCCCAGTTTATGGTGGGGTTCGTGTTGCTTAGTCTTTAGTTTTCTATAATGTGTTTTGTTTACTATTGATTGTCTGTTTTTTTTTTTTTTTTTTTTTTTTTTTTTTTAGCCATGGCGTTGTCCGTATATTTTAGATTTATGAGTTTGAATGTTCCTCTGGTATCTTTCGTCCCTCTTTTACGAGAGACGGATATTTTTCTAATATTTTGGAAATATGTGGGATTGTACTGTTTAAATCTTTTTTTTGGTAAAAGGACTGTATTGTTGGTTTTTTTTTCTCTTAAGAATACTGAATGCAATTGTTATCATATAAGGTATATATATATGAAAATAAGAAAATGTGGTATAATTGCCAATGAGACAACTCTTTACAAGAGAACATACAACGAAGAAGTTAACAACTATAGGTCACCATATGGCCTTCAACAATGAGCAAAACCAA